CCCCGTGCATCCAGCAATGTAATAAAGGATGGTGGCTTCTTCAGGCTGCATTGGTGTCACGAAGTTCATTCCTGGTTTCAGTGACAGCAGAATGTGAGAATCAGCCCGGGACAGCCACCGCAGGCTGCCTGGCAGCCAGGCCTCTCCCAGGTTCTGCACACGTCCTTAATTTAGCCATTGCTTAATAATAGATGAATGGTAAACTGCAGCCTTCAAAATAGTCTCCTAATTCACAACAAACATCCTTGGGATCATTTTCAAAGCAAAGAGGTTGAATAATAATCAACAGGAGACAGTCTCTGAGGCTTTGAGGACGTGCTGACTGCTTTAATAAAAGCCAGAAAGGCTCTCTGCCAGGGATTTCTCCACAAGCTGTCTTTCGAGGGCTAATATCCTCAAACAAGACCACCTGATGTCAACTGCTTTTAACTGCAGCCTCCTGCTTACCAAATGAGTACACCAAACATCACCATGTTCAATAAGCATGTGGAGGCAAAGCAGACAAAGCCCCAGGACTGGCACATGTGTCTGGGCTTTGTCCACCCACCCCACAGCTCCTGCACGAATCATCTCACAACCACGTGTGGCCCTGGGGCAGGAAGGTTTGTCCTGGGGCTGGGGTCGGCTGTGCTCAGCTGAGAGCCGCGCTGGCTCTGCTGGCTGCAGCGTCTCTGAAGCACCTGCGATAAGCAAGGGACTCAGCCTTGCTGCTTTTCCTGTGTTGTTCTGTTCCCTTGCCACGTCCTGCACTGCAGACCTCCAGGCCAGCCAAAACCCTTCTGTGCCCCAGTGGTGGGGCATGTGGGAAATGACTGGGCACCTTCCGTGGGAGCTGGGCAGCACCTGGAGCTCCAGGCCAGCTCCTTCCTTGTCTGCAGCACTGCTTGCCTCTAGCCCTGTGTATTTGCATCATCTCACAAACAGTTCATCATCCAGCGTCCCGGATGGGGTTTCCAGGCAAAACTGTAGGGGGAATTGCTCCTCTGGTCCTCTGCCCACCTGGGCAGCCAGTGGCTCTGCACCAGCCCTTGCCTGCCCAACCCCAGGGGCTATGAGCCTGGAGATGGATGAGCAGCAGGGAAGGCGGCTGGACCCCAGCGCTGGACCTGACCTCCTGGATGTCCATCTGCATATTCAGAAGTCGTTCCCAGCCGGTTGGCTGCCTCCAGCCTCCCCACTCCCTCTTTAAAGGACCTGAGCGCAGCGGGAGGACGCACCAGCGCTGCCTCTGCGGCATCCCGCACCCCTGGACGCCTGCCCTCGGGGTGCTGCACACCCTGTGCCCCTGGAGCCAAGGTGGGTGAGGTGTGAGGTGTGAGCGGCTCGGGTCGGGGACCACTCGCTGAAGACAGAGGGGTGCAATGGCTGAGGAAGGCACTGGGGGGATATTTGCAGTGCTGGAGGGGTGGCAGGCTGCTCCATGAACGCCTCTCCCACTGAGGAGCACCTGGGAAGCCCATCTCGAGTGGCTCCCATTTTGGAGAGAACATGCTTGCCCTTCTTCTCTGAGCATCTTTGTTTTATTCCTCAGTCTTTTTCTTCAGGTAAGAGGAGCCTTGGCTGCTTTTTAGTATTTTGGAAGGTGGTACTGGTGAAGGCTGGTAGTAAGGAACTGAAATACGCATCTGCCAACTCACTGGGCAAAGGGCTGCATCAGCAGGAGCAGTTTGCTTGGGGCAGGACCTCCTGGTCCTGCAGCACTGGGGAGGCTGCAGCAGGGAGCCGAGGCCACCCATGCAGGCTGCCATGGCGTGGGACCGCAGGCTCTGCTCCCACTGTCCAAATCTCTGTCAGAAAGATGGTGGTGCTGGCAAGTGGAGAACTTCTTGCCAGCTCTGAGTTGATCTGCTTATGAGAGGTGTATCATCCTGGGTTTCTGGGGCTAGGAAGCCCCAGCCCAGGGGATGGGTAAGCTCCCTGACCTTGCTGTTGAACACAGGGGAGGTGTGACTAAGTGCCAAAAGAAGGTGTTTCTGTAAGAAACTGACACATCGAAAAGTGAGGCTGCAGGACCAGGTGCCTTGCGCCCAGGCCATGAGGAAAAGCTGAAAGCTGGATGAACTCCATGACTGCGTTGCATTTGCTGCGCAGCTTTGTTGAGGTTAAGAGGCAGCCGCAGGCGGAGGGGAAGCTCGTTGTACAAGGGTGGGGGGTGATGCTGAGAGCTGCTGGCACCCCAGCCTCGCACTGGCCACAGGTAAATTGAGCAGTTTGAACATCCCTCATGACAGACTGTTAGGAAAACGAAATCCTAATGGTTGGGAGGGGTGGGGAGAAACACAGGAGAGCAACAAGTGGTGTTGGACAACCCAGAAAATACTTGTTTTGTCAAGAGTAGAGCTCTGCAAAAGATAGAGCTCTCCCAGATATCTGCCTGGAATAAAAGGCTATTTGAAGAAAGGCAACCTGTGAGTAGAAACCCATTTTCTATGCTGCTTCTTAGCCTGGAGGACTCACCATGGGGCAGACAGTCATGGGGACAAGAACCTGATGGTGTTGAAAATGATCAGACATTTTGAAGTATAGCAAAAGAATCTCAGACACTTTTAAGGTGTCTGGAAAAGACACAAACTGTCCTACTTCAGGGATGCAAAGCTACTGCTAATTAACATGGATGAGGGAGAAGCATCTCAGAGGGATGGTTACTCCATAATTGCTCAGGATATGAGCTTTTGCACCTTCTTTTGCAAAGCTGCCTGAGTGAGCGAGCAAGTGGAGGGGGTGGATCCCTGCCTGGAGTCAGCATGACAATTTTAAGCCAGGGGCTGCTGGCTCAGCAGTTTTTCTCTTCCCTGGTAATCCTCATCCCCAGCCCCAGCCCCATTCCTTTTATTCAGTGTTTTAACAAGTGTTTAGGAGCACTGTGCTGCATTAGCCTGAACATCCCAGTGTGTCCCGCTCACAGCAGGTCACATCACACTCCCACCCTCGCTGTGCCCCTTCCCACAAGCATGTTTGTGCCACCCTGGTCCCCCAGCACTGCTGCCTGTCACCGTGCCCTCGGGGCTGTGGTAGTGGGTGCGGGTGGCCAGCAGAAGCACGCAGCAGCCATGCCCTGGCCCAGCTGCTCCCTGCCATGAGTGCCTTGCTCAGGGATGTAGCTGCCGTCCCCGTGCCCTGCCGGTACCCGGGAGCACCCAAAACAACCTTTGCCCAGGTGTGCGTGGCAGAGGGCTCCGTCTGGTGCTCACCACCCTTGTACCCGAGTCCATGAGCCCAGAGGGGAGTTTCCCTGAAACTCCAGTGTGGGCATAGCTGGCTGTGTGGGAAGTGCCTGCTGCCGGGCCCATCCAGGGCTCAAACCGTGTGAAATGAACTCTGGGCACCATGAATGTGATAGTGTCCAGGGCGTTGCTGCTGCCATGTGCCACCTGACAGCCTGCTCTCTGGTTTGGCAGTGCCAGGAGCAGGCAATGGTCTGGGGACAAGTACGCCTTGGGAATCTGGGAGGAAACTCTCTGGCCATGTGCATGCAGAGCTGCTGCATGATGTCCTGCCTGCTGACATTTCTTGCTCTTTCTCCAGCTCCACACCTCTAGCAGGCTGAAACCTCAAACACCTGGGAAGCCTGCCAGACGATCACTGGAAATGATCCCAAACCAGCTGAGGGTGAGCTCTCCAGTGTCCAGGCAGGAAGAAGAGATGATGGATGACAACACTGCCTCTGAGCAGGACAGAGACTGTGCCACTCCAGGGCACAGCCTGGGGCTGAAGACAGAGCCCTGTTTCCAGACTGACCCTCTCTTGCCTTCCCCCAGCACATCCCTGATATCACAGCTCCTCAGACACCCAGTGGTTGTCAGGAGCCTGGATCCATGCATTGTTTTCCCTTCCTCCCAGGCAGTGGCCCTGCCTCAGGACTATGAGTGTGGTGCATTTCCTAGAGAAGGAGCTCAAGCCCTGGCTTTCCCCAGGACCTGTGCCCCAGCTTCTGTGCCCTGTGCTGGTGACAGGGACCAGCTCTCTGACCAGCACCTACAAGACCAGATCTCTGACCAGCACCTACGAGCCAAACGGGCCAGGGTGGAGAGCATCATCCAAGGTATGAGTCTCCCACCAACCCCCCTGGCATTTGACACCGGCCTGGAAGCAGCTTTTGGGCACAGGAGGGAGAGGGCTGGTGAGATGCCCCGGGAGAGCAAGAGGAAGCCAAGGGTGCCCCAGCAGGGAGCAGGGGCAGCCAAGCAAGTGGCTCCCATGAGGGGCAGCGCCCATGATGAGGGTTGCCAGCAGCTGAAGGAGCAGCTTTGTTTTTTAGAGCAGCAGTTGAGGAGGCTTCAGGAGAAGTTCTCTCAGGTCTGTGACTCTGGGGATGCTGCCCAAACCCTGGAAGGTGCCCAGAAAGCGCATCCAGTGCCTGGGAAGCCTGGAGACAGACTGGACAAGGACAGTGCTGCTGCTATGAATGACCCATGCCGAGTGCCTCTCTGGAGGAGCATCGCAGGGGTGCACGGGCAGGAGGATGACGAGGGCAGAGACGGCACAGGTGGCTTGCCTTCATCTGTGAGGGTCCTCTCACAGGCGCTGAAGCATGAGCTGGCCAGGGTGACATCCCGGGTGGTGGACTCTGTTCTGAAGACCATGTGGCCAAAGGCAGCCGGCCCCCTCCTGCAGCAGCACCGCAGCCTCCTGGTGCCGGGGCCAGGTGCCAGGAGAGAGTATTTTGCTGCTGGGAAATGCAGAAAGCCACTTGCTAAGTCATCCCCCATGAATGGGCTGGGCTTGCTGGGCTCACCCCAGGCTGAGGCCCTGTCAGGGGCTTCAGGGAAGAGCCCGGGCTCTCATGCTGGCTCCTTCAGTTCAAAGGGGGTCAGAAAACCCTGTCAGGTACCCAGCATGGGTTACCCGCTGGGCTCAGCTCTCCCCATCCAGGACAACCAGCTGCTGAGCCAGCTGCTGGGCTGTGGCCAGCACAGCCCCTGGGGCAGCGGCTCT